ATTTGGAAGCGTCCAGCGTCGTCTCTCACACGCCACGCAGCTTGGCCAGAAATTGTTTGACTGGGCGATACCGAAGCAATCGCTCACCTCAAATTGAGTACTGGGCCCAGTCGACCGTCATAGGCGCATCGTCTTTATTTGCAGGACAGCACTTAGTGTCATGGTTTGGAAACATCCGTTGGCGTCTCTCACTCGCCACGAAGCTTGCCAGTAATTGCATGTCAGTTGGCTTGGCGGTCACAGTAACGCATTCAATCGGCTCAATAGTAATGGATGGCCTGGAAGCAGGCCGGTAGCGATTCAGATTGCTAGATGGAGCCCAACAGGAGCTGCTGAGCTGTTGCCCACTTTGTTTGAGAGGGCGGTGCCGGAGCTGTCGCTCACTCCAGGTTGAGTATTTAGCCAGCAGGCCGTCGTGGCATGTCATCTTCTTGGTAAGTATGTGTTTTAAACAATTTTTTGCTTTTAATTATGTGCCTTTGGTTGCAGGACAGCGCATCATCTTCGTGATTTGGAAATATCTGGTGGCGTCTCTCACACGCCACGCAGCTTGACCAGGAATTGTTTGTATGAGCGATACCGAAGCAGTCGCTCACTTCAAATGAGTATTTGGCCCAATTTACCGTCGTGGGTGCATCGTCTTCTTGGTATGTATGTATTTAAAGCTTTATTTAGACATTGTTTAATTTATGCCTTTATTTGCAGGGCAGCAGTTCTGCGTCTTGCTTTAGAAACATTCATTGTCGTCTCTCACACTCCACAATCCGTCCAGTAGTTGCATGTCAGCAGACCCGGGTGGCCCGCAAACAGGCCGGTTGCAGTTCAGGATGCTAGATGGAGCCCACAAGGAGCTGCTGGGCTGTTGAATACCTTGTTCGAGTGGGCGATGCCGAGGCCGTCGCTCACTCCAAATTGAGTTCCCAAACCTTGCTTGCAGGACAGCGCATCATCGTCGCGGTTTGGAAACATCCAGTGGCGTCTCTCACACGCCATGCAGTTTGGCCAGGAATTGTTTGAATGGGCGATACCGAAGCAGTCGCCCACTCTAAATTGGGCATTCGACCAGCAGGCCGTCGTGGAGCATGTCATCTTTTGGTAAGTATGTATTTTAAACAATTTTTTGCTTTTATTTATGTGCCTTTGGTTGCAGGACAGCGCATCATCATTCGTGATTTGGAAATATCTGGTGGCGTCTCTCACACGCCACGCAGCTTGTCCAGAATTTACATATCAGTCGACTTGGTAGTCACAGCAGCGTATTAAATCGGCTCCGTTGTACTTGATGGCATGCAAGCAGGCTGTTTGCGTTTCAGGATGCTGGATGAGCCCACAAAGAGCTGCTGAGCTGTTGCATATTTTGTTTGAGTGGGCGATGCCGAGGCACTCGCTCACTCCAAATTGAGAATTTGGCCCAGTTGGCCGTCGTGGGCGCATCGTGTTCTTGGTGTGTATGCATTTAAAGCTTTGTTTAAACAGTGTTTAATTTGTGCCTTTGTTTGCAGGTCAGCACTTCTGTGTCGTGGTTTGGAAACATCTATTGGCGTCTCTCAGACTCCACAATTTGTCGAGGAATTGCATGTCAGCTGACTTGGCGGCAAAGTATTAAATCGGTTCCGTTATGAGTCAGGATGTTGGATGGAGCCCACAAGGAGCAGTTGAGCTATTTCATATTTGTTTTGGTAGACGCTGCCAATGCCGTTGCTCATTCCAAACTAATTATTTGACCCAGCAGATCATCTTGGGAGCTTGCGACTTCCATGTCTTCATTTAGAACGCGTTCCAATGTTAACCGGACTCTCTGGAGGCCATGCTCCAGGAGTGTTTCGTGGCTGATGGCTGTATTTATCTGGGTGTGTTGTAGTTGCGGCTGCTGTGGTTGCGTCAGCGATTGCAGGTTTCCTGTCCCCTGAGGTGATGTCGTTAGCTGCTGTTGTGGCGTTACTGATGCCTGTTGAGTCTGCATTGGCAGAGTATGCTGTGTTTGATGATTCTGCTGCCTCTCGTCCACATAGTCTGGTAGGATTAATCGCTGGATTGTTGGGGGTTGGCCTTGGATGTTAGCCACTAGCTCTTCACGTGTAATTTGTCCGCTTCTATACATTCTTCTTAACGCATTTATTCTTAACTCCCCAAATCTTCTAGGTATTTGCTGGAGTTGGTGCCTGGCCTGGATGACAGTCGTCGTTAGCTGAGTTTGTTGGAGTTGCGGCTGCTGTAGCTGCGGTTGCAACTGCGGATTCACTGACTCCTGAGTTGGCGTAGTTAGCTGCTGTTGTTGCTGCGTTGATAGTGCCTGTTGTATCTGCATTGGCAGAGCTTGCTGTGTTTGATGATCCTGCTGCCTCTCGTCCACATAGTCTGGTAGGATTAATCGCTGGATTGTTGGGGGTTGGCCTTGAATATCTGCCACTACCTCTTCACGGGTGATTTCTCCGCTTCTATACATTCTTCTTAACGCATTTATTATTGACTCCCCGAATCTTCTAGGAGGCGGCCGATTAGGTTGCTGGATCTGTTGCCTTGCCTGGATTTCGGCCAATCTCTCATTTTCTCGCCTCTCTAGCTCTTCTTCTTGAAGCCGGAGGAGTGTTGGAAGCTGCTCTCTAAATTGCATCCTTTGTTGTGCTTGTTGTGCTTGGTGAGCTTTTAATCTTAACCACTTGCCCGCCAGAAAGATACTGACGGTGTCTTTATTTTTAATTTAACTCATTACTTTAACATAGCAACTTATTTTAAATTTAAATGGCAACAGAAGTATTATAATTTGTGGGCAAAACATTTTGCAGCCCTGTTACAGCGTGTCGGTATTAACTTATCGGCTAAACGCGTTTTTGGTATTTTTATTTGCAACGATATTTATCGTCCTGCATTACTCATCTTTAGGAGCAGCATCAATGGCAGCGTTTCCTGAGTTTTGGCCCAGTAATCCGCCGTGGGAACCTGCGTCTTATTGAAAACAGTGGTAACTTCCTCTGTGGCGGCTATCGCGCGTCATGCATCTCACTCAGCTGGCAGGTACGCTTATGATGGATGGCCACTCGGGCAATTCAGGAAGTGAGGGGAGCCCACATGAAGCTGCTGGGCTATACCGTCGCTCATGCCAATTAGTGGTTTGGCTCAGTGGATCGTCGTGGAGCAGATCATCTTATCTGAGTATTGCATGTCAGCTGGCTTGGCAGCCGCAGCAACGCATTGGGTGGCCCGCAGTACAGGCCGGTTGCAGTTCAGGGTGCTAGGTGGAGCCCACAAGGAGCTGCTGAGCTGTTGCATATTTTGTTCGAGTGGGCGATGCCGATGCCGTCGCTCACTGCAAATTGTGTATTTAACCAGGAGGCCATCGTGGGGCGTATCATCTTCTTGGTAAGTATGTAGACAATTTTTTTTATTTGTGCTTTTGCTTGCAAGACAGCGCATCATCGTTGTGGTTAGGAAGCTTCTAATGGCGTCTCTCACACGCCATGCAGTTTGACCAGGAATTGTTTGTATGGGCGATGCCGGAGCAGTCGCCCACTCCAAGTTGGGTATTCAGCCAGCAGGCCGTCGTGGAGCATGTCATCTTTTGGTAAGTATGTATTTTAAAACAATTTTTGCTTTTATTTATGTGCCTTTGGTTGCAGGACAGCGCATTTTCGTCGTGATTTGGAAGCGTCCAGCGTCGTCTCTCACACGCCACGCAGCTTGGCCAGAAATTGTTTGACTGGGCGATACCGAAGCAATCGCTCACCTCAAATTGAGTACTGGGCCCAGTCGACCGTCATAGGCGCATCGTCTTTATTTGCAGGACAGCACTTAGTGTCATGGTTTGGAAACATCCGTTGGCGTCTCTCACTCGCCACGAAGCTTGCCAGTAATTGCATGTCAGTTGGCTTGGCGGTCACAGTAACGCATTCAATCGGCTCAATAGTAATGGATGGCCTGGAAGCAGGCCGGTAGCGATTCAGATTGCTAGATGGAGCCCAACAGGAGCTGCTGAGCTGTTGCCCACTTTGTTTGAGAGGGCGGTGCCGGAGCTGTCGCTCACTCCAGGTTGAGTATTTAGCCAGCAGGCCGTCGTGGAGCATGTCATCTTCTTGGTAAGTATGTGTTTTAAACAATTTTTTGCTTTTAATTATGTGCCTTTGGTTGCAGGACAGCGCATCATCTTCGTGATTTGGAAATATCTGGTGGCGTCTCTCACACGCCACGCAGCTTGACCAGGAATTGTTTGTATGAGCGATACCGAAGCAGTCGCTCACTTCAAATGAGTATTTGGCCCAATTTACCGTCGTGGGTGCATCGTCTTCTTGGTATGTATGTATTTAAAGCTTTATTTAGACATTGTTTAATTTATGCCTTTATTTGCAGGGCAGCAGTTCTGCGTCTTGCTTTAGAAACATTCATTGTCGTCTCTCACACTCCACAATCCGTCCAGTAGTTGCATGTCAGCAGACCCGGGTGGCCCGCAAACAGGCCGGTTGCAGTTCAGGATGCTAGATGGAGCCCACAAGGAGCTGCTGGGCTGTTGAATACCTTGTTCGAGTGGGCGATGCCGAGGCCGTCGCTCACTCCAAATTGAGTTCCCAAACCTTGCTTGCAGGACAGCGCATCATCGTCGCGGTTTGGAAACATCCAGTGGCGTCTCTCACACGCCATGCAGTTTGGCCAGGAATTGTTTGAATGGGCGATACCGAAGCAGTCGCCCACTCTAAATTGGGCATTCGACCAGCAGGCCGTCGTGGAGCATGTCATCTTTTGGTAAGTATGTATTTTAAACAATTTTTTGCTTTTATTTATGTGCCTTTGGTTGCAGGACAGCGCATCATCATTCGTGATTTGGAAATATCTGGTGGCGTCTCTCACACGCCACGCAGCTTGTCCAGAATTTACATATCAGTCGACTTGGTAGTCACAGCAGCGTATTAAATCGGCTCCGTTGTACTTGATGGCATGCAAGCAGGCTGTTTGCGTTTCAGGATGCTGGATGAGCCCACAAAGAGCTGCTGAGCTGTTGCATATTTGTTTGAGTGGGCGATGCCGAGGCACTCGCTCACTCCAAATTGAGAATTTGGCCCAGTTGGCCGTCGTGGGCGCATCGTGTTCTTGGTGTGTATGCATTTAAAGCTTTGTTTAAACAGTGTTTAATTTGTGCCTTTATTTGCAGGTCAGCACTTCTGTGTCGTGGTTTGGAAACATCTATTGGCGTCTCTCAGACTCCACAATTTGTCGAGGAATTGCATGTCAGCTGACTTGGCGGCAAAGTATTAAATCGGTTCCGTTATGAGTCAGGATGTTGGATGGAGCCCACAAGGAGCAGTTGAGCTATTTCATATTTGTTTTGGTAGACGCTGCCAATGCCGTTGCTCATTCCAAACTAATTATTTGACCCAGCAGATCATCTTGGGAGCTTGCGACTTCCATGTCTTCATTTAGAACGCGTTCCAATGTTAACCGGACTCTCTGGAGGCCATGCTCCAGGAGTGTTTCGTGGCTGATGGCTGTATTTATCTGGGTGTGTTGTAGTTGCGGCTGCTGTGGTTGCGTCAGCGATTGCAGGTTTCCTGTCCCCTGAGGTGATGTCGTTAGCTGCTGTTGTGGCGTTACTGATGCCTGTTGAGTCTGCATTGGCAGAGTATGCTGTGTTTGATGATTCTGCTGCCTCTCGTCCACATAGTCTGGTAGGATTAATCGCTGGATTGGGGGTTGGCCTTGGATGTTAGCCACTAGCTCTTCACGTGTAATTTGTCCGCTTCTATACATTCTTAACGCATTTATTCTTAACTCCCCAAATCTTCTAGGTATTTGCTGGAGTTGGTGCCTGGCCTGGATGACAGTCGTCGTTAGCTGAGTTTGTTGGAGTTGCGGCTGCTGTAGCTGCGGTTGCAACTGCGGATTCACTGACTCCTGAGTTGGCGTAGTTAGCTGCTGTTGTTGCTGCGTTGATAGTGCCTGTTGTATCTGCATTGGCAGAGTACGCTGTGGTTGATGATTCTGCTGCCTCTCGTCCACATAGTCTGGTAGGATTAATCGCTGGATTGTTGGAGGTTGGCCTTGGATGTTAGCCACTAGCTCTTCACGGGTAACTTGTCCGCTTCTATACATTCTTCTTAACGCATTTATTCTTAACTCCCCAAATCTTCTAGGTATTTGCTGGAGTTGGTGCCTGGCCTGGATGACAGTCGTCGTTAGCTGAGTTTGTTGGAGTTGCGGCTGCTGTAGCTGCGGTTGCAACTGCGGATTCACTGACTCCTGAGTTGGCGTAGTTAGCTGCTGTTGTTGCTGCGTTGATGGTGCCTGTTGCATCTGCATTGGCAGAGCTTGCTGTGTTTGATGATCCTGCTGCCTCTCGTCCACATAGTCTGGTAGGATTAATCGCTGGATTGTTGGGGGTTGGCCTTGAATATCTGCCACTCTTCACGGGTGATTTCTCCGCTTCTATACATTCTTCTTAACGCATTTATTATTGACTCCCCGAATCTTCTAGGAGGCGGCCGATTAGGTTGCTGGATCTGTTGCCTTGCCTGGATTTCGGCCAATCTCTCATTTTCTCGCCTCTCTAGCTCTTCTTCTTGAAGCCGGAGGAGTGTTGGAAGCTGCTCTCTAAATTGCATCCTTTGTTGTGCTTGTTGTGCTTGGTGAGCAGTGTGCTGTGTGTGCGGTGGCTGTGCTTGGCGCTGTTGCGGTCCATGATGATTCTGAAGCGGTCGTATGTGTTGTTGTAATTGCTGCATGTAGCGGGGCCTCAGTAGGCGCTGTGGCTCAAATGGGTGCTCTAGCAGGTTTCGTGCCTCAGGGTTTGCATGTCTGACCAACGAGTTTGCAAAGCGGTCACTTGCCAAGTGAAAGACTTCGTCAACAGTTTTAAGGCAGTATGTACTCCGTATTGTTGCGTTTCTGGTGTACCAGGATGCATTAACTGATTTTCTTATTATTTTATTTTGCAGTCGCTGAATTCGTTGTAACGTGTGTCCGATGTGAGCGCCCCCCAGACAGGGAGATCGTATGCCAGACCGCTTTGCAGTCCTTTGCCAGTCTGCTGTTGGGACCAAGGAGCCACATCAGTTTGGATGCTCTTGCTCTCAGCTTGTTACTTAGGTGAGTGACATGTGGTTGAGGGTGAGTTTCCGGTCCAGTATGATTCCCAGGTATGTCTGTGAGGTTTTGCTTGGTATCCTTTGCCCATTTAGTAGTGGTGACCGTTCTCTATCTGTTGAGCTAGATTCTCAGTGTGTAGAGCACATGGCCTGTTTTGTTAGCGTTGATACTAATGGACCATTTTTTCGCCCATTTTGTGAAGTGGCGAAGGTATTCCTCGTTCTGTCCGACAGCCCCCGAGGGAAGCGCAGAGGCACACATGATCACTGTATCGTCGGCGTATGTTGATAACAGCATTTGATTTTGGCTGGGCGCAAAGTATGTGCGTCTCATGAGCGATGGGAGGGGCATATCCGACGAGTAAATTGTGTACAGAATTGGGCCCAGCACACTGCCCTGGGGCACGCCGGCAGCAACTCGACCTGTTCTAGATTTGACACCGTCGTTGCAGTTTACTACGAAGGTGCGCTCGCATAGGTAATTTTCAAGTATCGTATAAAGGTTTAATGGTAACAATTTTATTAACTTGTTCAGCAGGCCGTCATGCCACACGCGGTCAAAGGCTTCCGAGATATCTATATAGACCGCTGAGCAGAAATGTCGCTCTTCGTATGCGCGTAATATAAATTGCGTAACGCGGGCCAGTTGCTGCTCAGTGCCGTGTTCTCGCCTGAAGCCAAATTGATGGCTTGGCATTGCCCTGGCAAAATCCTGGACTTCGAAGAGCCTTGACATTAAGAGCTTCTCGAAGATCTTTGATAGGCCCGATAAGAGGCTGATTGGACGATATGATGTTGCTTCAGCTGTGCTTTTACCAGGCTTGGGAATCATAGTTATGCCAGCGTGTTTCCATTTGCTTGGGAAATGCCCTAACCTTAGGCTAGAGTTTAGATTAGCAGTAAGTATAGCAGCGCTTTTTGCGGTAAAAGTTGGATAATTCTGTTATCTATTTTATCTTCTCCAGGCGACTTCGTTACCTAGTGCATCAATTTCTAGCTTTAGTTCATTGAGCGTGATTGGCCTAATAGTCTGCTGTAGCTCCTGGTCTGTTTGTTGCTGCTGGAGTTTCTGCTGCTCAGTTGTCTCCATTCCTGACGAATTTCTGCACGCTCCTCAGACGAATTAGAGAAATTTGGACTGAATCTTTCTTCAAGGTGGGCGACGAAAGCCTCCGCTTTTTCGGCAGTAGTTTTTCGTCCATATTACGTTTTGGATTTGTCGCACGCCTCGCGCCCCCATTGCCAACATTAGCCTGTATTGTTTTATTGGCCAATTGGGCTGCGGCTGTTTTTTAAGCTTGTTGGTAAGTCTCCAAAGCTTTGCATAGCGTATGATCATGGGTGTCATGTCCACAAGCATTTTATTAATATTCTTGTTTTTCAGCTGGATTAGTGCCTTCTTCAACTTATTTTGTGCAGACCTATATTGTTGCCTTGCCTCTGGAGTTCGTGTCGCCATTAAAATCTGCTTGCATCTCTGTTTCTCCGATAATAGTCTGGTTGGCTCGTCCAGTTCAAGATCGTGCCTGCGGTGGGCCCGGTGGCTAAGCTGGTTTCCTATCTGCCTGTGTGCTGCTGCATCTGCCGCTATTTGAACGTTGCGTACGAAGATGTTCACTGCATCGTCGATGTCCAGGCCACTGCGGATCTCGGTGTTTAAGTGGATTTGCTGGTCAAGAAGCTCCTGAAAACGATGGCGTATTGGCTCCATTAGGTAGCAGTCTGTGATTTCCAGTATGAGTTGTAAAGATTCGATTTTTGTTAGTGATCAGATCAACTCTTAGGGGCAGGTGGTCCGAGTCCAGGTCCGTAGAGGAGTGGATTCGAAGTCGATTGCTATCTAGCCCACCGTAGACTGCGAGGTCAATTGCTGATGGTCTTTTCCTCCTATCGTACGGGTAGTGCGTTGCTCCGCCGGTGGCCAGAACATTATATCGACTTTGCGTGTGAATTGCTTCGAAGAGCGCTTGCCTCTGTGACAGGCGCGGGTTTCCCCCCATGAGTGCTGGCATTCCAGTCACCGCAGAGGAGAAAGTTAGATGAAGCCAGTTCTGTGATTTTGTCAAAATGTCTGAACAGTTTTGTGAAGTGTTCGACTGACCATTTGAACACTGGGGGGCAGTATATTGGCGCAATTATAATTATTTCCCTTTTATTCTCATTTTCAGGAAGTAAGGCAACAGGCATAACTGGAGGAAGTTCTCGGACATTGGATGAAGGGCGGCATGTCTAATGTCGTTTCGTACAAAGATAGCGACTCCACCTCTCCGATACGTGTGTGGATTGGTTGTACTGTATGTGTGGTAGCCGTCCATGCTTAGTATGCTGGCGTCAGATGGAACCCGAGTTTCGATGACCATCATAATTTGGATGGACTCGCGTCGCATGTACAGCTCTAGCTCTGTCATTTTGTTGCATATACCACATGCATTCCAGAAAGCAATTTTAAGTGGGTTGCTATTCTGGCCGCTCCTGTGGATGGTCACATGTGGATTTGCTGTACTAATTGGCGCACTGTTGTGGACATTTTCAGCTGAGGAAGTAGTGGCTATGGTCAATTGAGAGTCGGTACTGCTGTGAGTACGACTATACATATTTAGTGACGTCATTGGCGATGGCAGCTTCCCTAGAGCAGTCCATTTGGGCTGCTTTGCTGTCTGTTTGTGATGGCTATGTTTGGGAACACATGATTATTGGTGTTTGTTGTATTGTTTTCATTATGGATGGTAATGAATTGCACAGGACATTTAATAGAGTGTCTATTCTTTTTCCATGCGACTAAACATTGCCATGTTTTTGTTCTAATGTCTGGAGTATAGTGCTTTTGGACATTGATGATTGGTGTCCTGCCTGCCTGCTGCTGTTCATCCATTGATGCTGCTGTGGAGTGGCCAAATGACTTCCAAACGAATTGCGCAAGGGAGCACTATAGTCGACTTGGCCGTGCGTGAACTTGTCACGATTGGTTGGAGTAGCTGGCTTGTTAATTGATGATGTTGCTGGCTTCCTGGAATTGTTCGAACGATGTTGTTGTTGATTCTGCCGTCTGCGAAGTGGCCGCTGAAGTGTTCCTAAAAGCTTTCTTTTCGGGGTATGTTTGCGGATTGTGGACACAAGCCGGCTGTGGGACATGTTGGTGGATCTTTCAGCTGAATTCGGTGTACTGGCATTGTTTGTTGCTGAGATCTGCTGTTCCCTCATGGGAGGATTTGGTAGTTGATTTTGCTGTTGTTCCAATCGTAGTTGCTGCTGGAAAGTGGCCAAGTGTATTTCGGCGGCGGGTTTCGTACGCGACCGGCAGCGTTGCCGTTACGCACGACCTGACTGTAGGATAGCTTAGCGACTCCTGGCTGTTTTAATGCTCTTGACTGCTGATGTGCTGGTTTTATCTGGTGTGGATGCTGGATTCCTGGCAGTGGCTGCTGCCTCTGCTCACGTTCTTGCCGCTGTTTATCATCGGCCATGACTCGGTTTGCCCTTAGTTTGCTGCGTGCGTTTTTGTAGGCAGGGCAGCCTTTATAGCAGCTTATATGATTGCCCTTGCAATTTGCGCACTTGGGCTCCACCTGTCTGGGTTTGGTGCACGCAGTTGACATGTGCTCACCTGCACATTTCATGCAGACGAAAGGCCGCCTGCAGTAATTTTTCGTGTGTCCAAAGGCCTGGCACCGATGGCACTGCACTGGATCACGAGGTTTGACTTGCCGCTCAACCGCGACTGATTGGCTCCCCAGCTCTTTCAGGTTGAGGATGTCTTCATGGCTCCCATCCGCTTTGGTCTGCAGTTCGATTTCGAATATATTCAGCGGCCTGCCTGTAAACCGGTGTTTTATGCCTCGGATGAATCGAGCGACAAAGCCCAATTGTTCTAGCTTGGCCGCTATCCATTCACAGGGTGTAGTGTGATGGATATGGCGCAAGATTATGCGATATCCCTTTTCGCTGCGTAGTTGGTGCGTATGCAGATGAGTGCCTTCTTCAGCCAGGGCGGTCAGGATTGCGTTGGTGTGACCAGATCTTCACATTGGACACGTAATCCGCTGCCAGATGTTGCCTTTGTGGAGAATTTTCCAACACCTGGATTGCTTTTCAGTTTATCTAGTAGTGGTATAATTGCGGGCACCATCGGCAAGAAGAGTGCGGGCACTTTCTTGCTTTGTATTGTCTGTTGCTGTAGTGGCTGTGGTAGATGCTCTTTCGATTGCTGCTGCGAGCTCTCGTCCTTTGATTGCTGATGTTGTTGCGATTTTTGTTGATTCTGTTGTTGATGTGGCTG